GAGAGAGAGAGAGAGAGAGAGAGAGAGAGAGAGAGAGAGAGAGAGAGAGAGCGAGAGCGAGAGCGAGAGCGAGAGCGAAAGCGTAGACTTTATTTATTGATGAGTATATGAGACTCAAAAGTCCGTAGTTGAAATCTGTCGGTTATTTTTAGAATCCAGCTGTAAAAGACGTCATTCTCTACCAGAGAAGGATATTATTCTTTAGGCTGATGGTTTAAATAGTTCGTGATTCTTAGGACATATTGTGAATTATAAATTCTTTTAATCTTTTCACTAGTTCTGACTACAAAACACTAGGTGATTCTGCCGCTTTTAAGAGACGAAATCTGCTTTCACTATCGTGTGAAAGGCGTTGTATATTATTAAGAATTAAAATTCACGTCGAATATAAAACTTGTTCGCAGATTCGAATCGAACACCCTCGTGTATGCAGTCTTTTAAATTATTGTTCTGTTTACTTAACGGTAAATCTAACGCACAATAATTTCAAGGACGTGCTCGTTGCTAAGATACGCGGGATGGTTTATACGCATGCTTTAACTTTATTATCTTTTTATTCTTTGAACGCATGCCAACCGCAATACTAACAACTGGAAGAGTGGACTTCCATTCTTGTCTAGGGTAAGTTGCGAGTATTGGATTAGTGTGTAAATTTGTGTCGCATGCCGACAAGTGATGCATGTTTAGCGCGTTAATTCGCGCGTCGCGTTATTCTTTCCATACGTACGAATTGACCACGTAACATATGTAATTTTTCCTGCAAATGTATACACACGACAAAACAGACGCGAGTATGTCTACTTGTTGGAATAAAATCCCGCCTTAATGTATCTACGTAAAAATAGCAATAAAAAATCATATGTTATTTGATAAGGAAGCAACTTTATGTCGTTACATCATAATCATAATTCTGGTTGATCGTGACTGGTGATTTTTTAAACGACATCCTTGAAACGTATTTAACGCGAGACAACGGTTCGTTTACTTGCAAGAAAATGCATTTAGAGTGAAAAAAAGTATATAAATTACATGACATTGCAATATTATATTTTTTCATTTTATGTTTTTAATATGTTATGTTAATTATATCATGATAGCATTTCTTACGCTTTATATTATTTCGTTTTTAAATGTCGCGGAACAGCCATTTGTTGAAAGAAACATCTACTTATATCGCAGTTTTGTAACATATTTATTATATATATTTATTATATATTTGTTATATTGTTATATATTTGTTATATATTTATATATTATTTATATATTCTTATATATTTGTAATATTTTCATAATTTCACTTGTGTTACATTTGTTTTTATTTCTCTCTTATATATTGCTAATATTAAAAAACACGGAGACTATTTCTCTCAAGATATATAAGAGTAATGTGTGACGTTGGCAAATAATTGCAGGTGGTTCCGTGTGGTCTCCAAAAAATCTGCCATGTAAGATTACGAGTCTGTCTTTATTCATTTTATTCCGACGTGCTCTTACTGCAGCGTTTAGAATTTTAAATCCTCGTATTAAGTAGAAGGGCGATACGCCGTTGGTGATACTTATTTTTGTGTCACCGATTCAAAATTTGACAACATATTGCGTAGGCATATTTGATTGGAAGTTTTCGTAATTGATTTAGTAGCAATATTTGCTTTTTCGCTTTGTTCGTAATCTATTTAGAGATACAATGATCTTTAACAGGCGCGTGATTTATTTGATCACTTATCACTTCATCATCTCTGTTGTACATATTTCATTTTTTACATTTTGTATTATACTATGTCGAGTGGTCTTTGATTGGCAGGATATTATTATATAATCACATACGCGTTTTTTGAAGCAACATTATTAAATATCGCATGAAATTTTACATGAGGTTTGTGTAAAATAATACGAACTGTAAACGACCACGTTTTGGCAGTTGTTATAATAAGCAAAAGTAACAACAATAAAAAGAGAGAAAAATTCATTGTAATGCAAATTTGGAAGTATAATACGATATTTGATCTATTATAATATTATCTTTTGATATTGCGTTCGAGATATCACGAGGAATGCACCGCGCGATATTATGTACTCTGCGATAACTGCTCTCTAGAAACATTTTCAGTGTTTATCGGGAACAGTCCAGGTACACTGTTTCATACAATATTTCTTACTCGCTACTAATCACAGATAAGTAGTCTATAGCGAGCGCAAGCAGCATAAACTCTCGAAGAATCGACTATTGTCATGACGTAAGTTCTTTCAGTGATATCTGGATAAGATAGGAGCGTGTACTTCCACGAGAATGAATAATAAGAATGAATACAGGCAAATGCATTTGCCACGTATACAATTATTGCCCGAAATTTTTTTGCTCCAAGTACTCTCCGATTTTCTACTTAACTTTCGCGATACTTATCGTTTCGAGTGTCGTTAAGGTAACGTAACGTCGTTCGTATCGCGATTGCGATTCGATGTATACAAAATTGCTCGTAAGAGATTACAAATTTATCGAAATTGGATCACCAAGGGAACATTTGGCTGATAATATACACTCAGTTATTAAACAGAATCTATCATTAAGATATATTCATACACATATTGCGTTAATAACGCAATATCTTTTGTCTTATTCTCTTATTTTTTATGATTTTCAACGGAACACTTTTTCCGGTACAAAGAACAAACATACGAGATTTAAGCTGCAGTTTAGAAGTACGAGGAATAAAATTCAACTTCTTCGACAACTGCCAAACGTGTGCACTAATTAAAACACAAAAACATAACGAGAGTGCGTATGTTTGTGCTTTCATCACAGAATGGTGACGAGATTAAAAATTTCAAAAGAAGAATGTATTTTCGGTAGTAAAGAAAATATTTTATCAGTGGTACGATAATACATTAGATACTGGAAGTATTAAGATATTACTGTATTAAGGTGCTCTAAAGCGTATTAAAATGTGTACATTAAAATATATATCGTAGCATATATGTTTTTAGTGCATCGCATTTCTTCTGATGAAAAATATTTCGTCGATATTTCACTGCTTATATTCGGTTTCACACATATTTAGATCCTCGAATCTTGCGTCACGAGAATTATTCGTTCGCATGTTTAGCTATTATCTTATAACGCTACACGCTTTTACACGTTTGAGCGTCAAATGTGACCTTCACCTTGAAAAAAAATAGTTTGTGTAGGATCACTTATCTTCCAAACGTTTGCAGGTGATGAACCAAGAGGTCAAAAAAGAGACTCCACTGCAGTTCAAGTTTCGTGCAAAATTCTATCCCGAGGATGTCGCTGAAGAACTCATACAGGATATTACACTTCGACTTTTCTATCTTCAGGTAAGGAAGCATTTCAGTTCGCAATGTTTAATTTGCTATTTTTATTCCCGAATAAATTATTAGACTTGAAATAAAAGTCGAATTGAAATATTGAATATTAACACTTGTACGCATCGGTTTGTAAGCATTTAATAGATTTATGCTAATAAATTGATACTATTTGAATTATTAATTGATGACGTTATATTTCGGATGGTTGCAGGTGAAGAATGCCATCCTTACAGATGAAATATACTGCCCACCGGAAACTTCCGTCCTATTGGCTTCGTACGCCGTTCAGGCGAGACACGGTGACTATCAGAAGGGTAGTCATCCCGTTGGCTTCCTGGCAAACGATCGATTGTTGCCGCAGCGCGTCGTAGATCAGCATAAGATGAGCAAGGAAGAATGGGACAGCTCGATTACGAATTGGTGGCAGGAGCACCGTGGCATGTTGCGGGAGGATGCCATGATGGAATATTTGAAAATTGCTCAGGTAACTATTTAGGTAGCACGCACAGAGACTGCAAAATCTGAGATATAGGAGGCGAAGTCTTTCAGGAGGAAGTGGAGATATGATACCTGACGCGCAACATTACAAATGATATATGGCGTAACGATATTTGTGTCACAAAATTGCAATACATAACAAGATATAATATTGAAATAAATATACGAAATAAAATATTATTTGATTTTTGTACGTTGCGTAGATTGCGTTAGAGTTGTATATTTGTTCTGCAAATTTCGTTTGTTTAAACTTTTTTTTTGTCATAATTTATGCGATCCCCGCTTCTCCTGCACTGCTATCGCGTGTGTCATATATACAATACTTGGCGATTATTTGCATAATCTCTGATTGTGACATATTGTGACAAAACGATGTTAATCACGATACTAGACAATATATTTTAATCAATCTTGCGGAGAACATTACACGCGCTCGATTTTTCGACTAGGAAATATGCTGTTGCACGAAAAGTCGAGATGACATATTGCCACACACAGACTGGTGTCTTTTTAGTATTTTTCTTTGTTTTTTATTTTCCGTAGGACTTAGAGATGTATGGTGTGAATTACTTTGAAATTCGCAACAAGAAGGGCACAGATCTTTGGTTGGGTGTGGATGCTTTAGGTTTGAATATCTACGAGAAGGACGATAAGCTTACGCCGAAAATCGGTTTCCCTTGGTCCGAGATACGGAATATCTCGTTCAACGATAAGAAGTTCATAATCAAGCCGATCGACAAGAAGGCGCCGGACTTTGTATTTTTCGCCACCAGAGTCAAGATTAACAAGAGAATTCTCGCGCTGTGCATGGGCAATCACGAGCTCTACATGCGCAGACGTAAGCCGGACACGATCGACGTGCAGCAGATGAAGGTACGACATTACGTATAAATAGCATTATGTCGTAGTAACTGCGAAATCTGTTAAAACTAAAGTATTTGTATGCATTTGCTTATCTAAAGTACGTAAGCTTATATAACATATTTGATATAGTTTTACGTAACCGTCGTGTAGTACGTTAGATTTTTACGTAAAGCTGGATCATATTATAGGATGTGTGATACGATTAATGACGTGTTTGAACAACGCAACAAGTATTCAACTATATACTTTAGTTAATTATAACCAAAGTTATTAATATGTATATTTTACTCTGGAAATAAAATGAAATTTACGATGACATTTCTCTACTTTAGGCTCAAGCAAGAGACGAAAAGATAGCGAAACAGCAACAGAGAGAGAAATTGCAATTGGAAATAGCTGCTCGGGAACGCGCGGAGAAGAAACAGCAAGAGTACGAGGAGAGGCTAAGGAACATGGCGGAAGAAATGGACAGGCGGCAGGCCGAGTTGAATGAGGCTCAGGAAATGATTCGGCGCTTGGAGGAGCAGCTGAAGCAGTTGCAAGCTGCCAAGGAAGAGCTAGAAAATCGCCAGAAAGTGAGTGAGAGTAAGCTTATTTAGTAGTAATTGTTGAGAAGCTGTCAAGCACGAGACGTATAAGATTTTTATCTTTCGCATAATCGTTGGTGCCATCGTTTAGATTGTGTCTATATACACAGTTTCTCTCTCTCTCTTTTTTACAATGCATGTATTCACTCGTAGGAATTGACGGCAATGATGGAGAAGTTGGAACTGTCGCACGAGATGGAGGCTGCGGAACGCGCCAAACTCGAACAAGAGATCAGAGCTAAACAAGAGGAAGTGCAACGCATACAGTCCGAGGTGGAAGCAAAGGATGCGGAAGCTAGGAGATTACAGGCAGAGTTCGAAGCGGCCAAGTACGAACAATTTTCTTTCTTTTTTTTCGTGTTTTTACGTACGTATAGTTGATGCAGTCGGAAAATGATTGCATGTTACTATTTGTCAGACTAAGACAAGAAGAGGCAGATCGTGCGTATCAGGCCAGCACGACCCCGCATCATCATCATGTCGAGGAGAATGAAGAGGGTGAGGAGGAAGGCGAGGACGAAGTTCCCCAAGGAGACGTTACCAAGGACCTCGCGACTGACGAATCAATAATTGATCCTGTCGAAGAGCGACGCACTTTGGCCGAAAGAAATGAACGTCTACATGACCAGTTAAAGGTCTGATTTCTTTTATATATTTTATTAAAAAAATAAATTTTTTTTTTGTAATTACATATAATTTGGAATATTGCTTATGAACAATTTTCTTAATATGTATATGACTGTCATTGTGTACATCTTCGAGTACGGAGCTTGCTCGTCAATTTTACATTTATTCTTACATCTATTTATAGTATGATTTTTTATTACGTTATTTTAATTATTTTAATTATTTTAGTTATTTTAATTAGTAACGAAAAAATTTACGTTTGTAATTGCTACTGAAGAGGATCCATTGAGATGTTCAGAAAGCGATTTGTAATAGTCATATATAGATATTAAAAATATTCACAAGATCCTGGCTTTTGCCTTTTATAGGCTTATAATCCTTGATTTTATATCAGAGATTTATATAGTTTATATCCATTATTCTTTTTTTTAATACGTATAATATTTTGTCTATCGTATATATTTTTCTGTTGTAACGAAGTGTATACTAAAGCCAGAGCAAATCTTATAGGAAACATTTATGTGTTACTGTAATAGAATATGTCGTTTTATAGGCACTGAAGCAAGACCTCGCTCAGTCGCGCGACGAGTCCAAGGAAACTGTGATGGATAAAATCCACAGGGAAAATGTGCGTCAAGGTCGCGACAAATACAAAACGCTTCGTGAGATCCGCAAGGGTAACACCAAGCGTCGCGTTGATCAGTTCGAGAACATGTAAATTATAACGTGCATTTATCCGCTTATACTTTGTTCACGATCTTTCCTATCTTCGAGTTTCTCATCCGATTTTGTACAAGCGGGGAATTGCAGTGAAATGATTCAAGATACACGAAAGAAAGCGATCAAGAGAAGGAGATGGAGAAGCAGAGAGAGAGAGAGAGAGAGAGAGAGAGAGAGAGAGAGAGAGAGAGGTATAGATTCTACAATCGATGTATAAATAGAATTATCTTGAACACATACTTTCCATTAATTAACTAACAAACCTCTCTCAAGTCGGCGCGAAGTAACACCGTGTGTGAATCGCGTATCGAGAATTGTGAGTGATAATCCGATTTTAGCACGATGATGACTCTATACTCTCCGCAATCGATAATCAAAGCTCTCAAACGATTGGCGAGAAACGCGATGAAAAGCAAGCGACTCGCGCCGTCTTCCAGATATGCTTCCACGTTAATTAATGTCGTACGATTGGCTCTAATGGGAAATCGTCACGTGTGTATGTCTTACAAAACGTGAGCAAATTTTCTTGCTGATTTTACGCGGGAATACCTTGTCCGTGAAAACGGGGTGATCTTTATAGCTGTTTTAGCAGTTACTTGAAAATAATTTTTCGGATATTAATGTTACCTATTTTTCGAGTTTCGAAATAACTTAATCTGTGCTATATCATCCTAATTTTTTTTTTAATTCGAAGATGAGTTTCGTTTTTTCTCGCTGAAATAGCAAGAAAATTTACAGTATTGGTAAAATCAACTCGTTATCGTTACTTAACTTTCTCGACGAATTATATCTCGGAACCGAGATATCAGTATTGTCTTGTTTCACAAGTATATTACTGCCTGTCATTTTTATTCGAGTCGCGAGACGTCGATTTTCACCGCTGGTTACTCGATGCCTGTCCGTCGCGCAGGTTCTTATCGTGTCGTGTCCTATCGTGTCCTCGATATAAGGATTCGCTTTCGATTTTCTATGTCAACCATCGTTACATCATTGTTACCACCACTCATATCTCGGATCGATGCCTCGCGACGACAGGCTCACCGGTCGTGGTCGTTACCTGTTAACAGACGGTTTTTTTTCTAGTTATACGCTAAAGGAGATGCTGAAGCTGAAAACTATACCGACAGAATACTGAAATTTTTTTGTAAAATTTACGTCATATTAGTTGCATAGAATTACAAATACTTTTACGCAATGAAAGCAAAAATAAATAGGAACATTACTCAATATGTGACGAAAAAAAAAATGAAAACGCGCATGTGTAAAATCTTTCTGCAAACTTTTCAGATATTCTTAAGCTTTTATGCGAAGATACAGTATGTTTTTCAAAATTTTTCTGTCTGGAGCACCCATATTTTCGATATGTGCAAGCTGCTTTTGATTTGATAGCCAAATATTACGCTGACAGCTTGAGATTTTATATTTAAAATGTTTGTTCATTTTCGTCACATATTGAGCAATGTTGTTATTTATTTTATACGTATTTTTATTGCGTAAAAGCATTTATAATTCTGTACAAGCAATATGACGTAAACTTTGAAGAAAAAGTCAGTATATTGTCGATAATGTTTTCAGCTTCAACAGTCTCTTAATTCGGGCCATATTTGTAGATTGGGAAGGTATGTTGAGCAGTCGCTTGCGAAAGTCGTCAGCCGGCCTATCCGTGGAAATCGCGAAGCGATATCCAGTAGTATCGATGATTCGTAAATCATTTACGAATATCGGCCATAAAGGAGTCGATGGTGCACATGATTTATACCGTAGCGAGATAGATAGAAATTTAGGCGTAATTCACTTGTAGTTCTTACTGGGCAACAACCGTCTCGCAAGGGAACTTTGCGGCGTTCCATTAATTTTTTTGCGTTAATATTATGCGCTAAAAATCTAATTGAAAAAAAAGTTGGACTAAAAATATATAATTATATTATTATGAGCATTTACCTGTCTGTGCGTTGTAAATGTTGTTTGACAGGTTTTGGCAATCAGTCGTTAAATTGACTATTTTCAAACTGGTACATACAATTTTTTTTTTTTTTTTTTTTAAGATAAACCACGTTCGTCGCGCTTTTGCAGAAGAATAGACGAGTTGCATATCGCGATTGTTCTCTTGTACACCATCCACGAATCACTGTACAGCACAAGCTGTGTTTCCAGATAATAAGATAAGCGATTCGACGAGAATGATCTATTTGCTACCGGTAAGACCGACTACCGACTATTTTCGTACGAGCGAGTTTTGATAAACACATTAGCGATTTTATATTAAATACACTCGTGGCCTTTATTGATATACATACATATAAATAAATATATATATATATATATATATATATATATATATATATATATATATACACAGATATCAAAGTACTATAGGTAATAAACGTATAGTACTATATATAGTAATATACGATATTGTAGCAAAGAGAGAGAGAGGGATACCGCACGATTCTTTGTCTTGCATACTTTCGAATAGGATTTAATCGCGCGTTATCTGCGAATGAGCTAGTAAACGAGATTTTTGAAAGAATGAGCAAATGAGTGTAAGATGGAGAGAATGCGACCGGGAGATGCCGTGTGAAAGGCCGAACGGGGAAAAAAGAAAAAAAAATGCAAATGCATTTATGACGGTCCGTTACTATGTCACTATAAGTTTTAATATCTTGGCATTTTAAGAAAGTATTGCGCAATGAAATTTGGAATTAAACGAAATTTAATATACATAAACTACAAAGTGCTATCAATTTTCATCGACGGAATGCAAACAAGGAGCAATAATTATACGATATGAAGATGTAAACTATATTGGAAAGCAGAATTGCGAAATAACGAAATCTTTGCTATATTTAATGTCACCATTCGCACCATTCGTAAAAGATAATATGCGAAAGAGTAAGAAGGAAAAAGTACAGAAGTATATTTAATAACAATAGATATTTTTTGATTATATTTAATATTAAAAAAATTACAAATTGGTAGTGTTATTATAATATTAATATTTACAATTTAGTAGATTTATTCTATTATTATTATTATTATCATCGTCGTCGTCGTCATCATCATCATCATCATCAACATCATCGTCATCATCATCATCATCATCATCGTTATGGAGATAATATCGAACGAAAACTAAAGCAAAGCATTTTATAGTCACCAATTTATACTCTTAAGGTAACACAGCACATAGATTTAGTTGCGGAAGTTTGTGTACGTGTCGGGAGAGTTACAGGTATTCAAAATAATATACACGATAATTTTTTTAGTCTTCTTTTTCGCTATTTTTGTTTTCTTTTTCTGAACATATATGCAATTGTATTTAAATTCCTTATATCTCGGATCTTGGGGAAGGGAGATTCTGAGATTCCTTTAATTTACCTGAACAAATATATTTAAGAATGTGACGTTTTATTATGGCTGCGTTCAGAAAACATAGCTGATCAGTGAGCGGTCAGTGATTATTGGTCCTTATTGTTAGATCCCTAACTTTAGACCAATTACGTTGACTAATTACTCAACCGTTGTGTAACCGTTGTGTCTCCTAAACGCACCTATTGCTAACCTTTTTTAATCTTTGTTTAAAAGAATGTATAGACTCGCGACTAAATATATGTGCAAATAAAATGAAAAAAAAAAAAAAAACCACTAGAAGCGAAGAGATCATACGATAACATTGCAACATTCAGTAAAGTAGACGAGAATAATCTTGAAAGTTCGTTCCGATATTTTGACCTTGTGAATACTTTGATGAAAGAAATACATTTTTGAGATTTTTATCGAAACATTCCAAAGGAATTTCTTGTAAAGTGTTTACTCGATTTATATTGGATTATTCAGTGAAAGAGAGAGAGAGAGAGAGAGAGAGAGAGAGAGAGAGAGAGAGAGAGAGAGAGAGAGAAAGAAAGATAGGGAGGAGGAAGCGAGAGATATAATAAATTATATAGATATTCAGTTTAAATTACCGTTGTAGATATATCGCGTCTCAAGAATCTTTGTCTTTTTATAAGAGCTGAGAATATTTTTTCACTTATCTTTTCGAGTGTACTTAACTCTAGGATACACTAGCTAATTTTTATTTAATCTGGACGTTACACGCAATTTCGTTAAAATGCAGACACTGTATCGTTTGTAGAACGAGATAAGAATATTAGACGTTCGTTCATTTCCGTTTATCACTACGTTAGCTATATACTTATAAGCCATTAGATGCGCAAAATAAAAATTGATTTTGAGTATAATCAGCATAAGATAGTTATGCGACTGTAAGCTGACGGTATGCAAATTACAATAAGCTAAAAAGGCTGATATTTTGTATAATTTTGTGGGAAAGAAACTATATGTTGCGTTCAAAACTTATTTTGATCTTCAAAGTGCATCCTAGGGTTAATTAATACATGATTTTGCAGCTTCTTTTCCTCACATCGTAGAACATATCGAAACGTTTGCATTCATCTCAAGCAAATTTTTTTATTTATCGTCTTCCTCTTTTCGAGTCGAAAATTGCGACTAGCGACTTGACAGCATTGTAACGCTCAAGTTCGATCGTTACTTGTTTCTGTAAGACCTTTCTAACATTATCATAAAAATATTTTGTTTATTATATCGCAGAACAGCAATGAACGCATTATGTAACACGAGACATACAATCATGCAAAACTGCATACAGGCATTGTATCTTAATGAGAACAATAGTTATTTGTTGGTGCGAGGATATATAGAAATAATTTGTACTTTCCTGAGGGGAAAAAGAGCTATAGATATTATTAAAATAAAAAAAATCATCAAATGTAACAAGCTGAACTTGCTAAACCGGTAAATTGTGTTCGTTAATTTATGATAAAAATCTGAGAATAAGATGGTAAGTTTAGTGTTGTTCTGTTAAAAACTTAAAATTTCTAACAAAATATCAGTGTAAGGTGCTCAACATTTTATTGTGTTTATGTAATATGAAACAAGATTAAGATAACCTGGACTAATTAAAAAATCGCAGAGATATCGCAGATTTTCTGCAATAATGACATAAGAGATCAGAATGTAGCCCTTACTTCAGATACACTGCATGTTTAAAAAAAATATATATATATATATATATCAAACATTAATATTTTCCGAATGTTTATTGAAATACAGTAAAATTGTAACAAAATAAGAATCTTCAGGTATTCAACCAAAACATACACATCCAGATACATGATGCAGTTAGACTTGTCATGGAAGAAGAATAGAAAATGTCAACAGAAATGAGCTGAAGAATTCTATTTATTAAATAATACAATTTGCAAGTAGCTATAATTAATTGATTGATTTATTGATTATTATTGATTACGATCTTCAGGGGAACGGTGCAAAAAAGAATAAGAAAATACGATATTAAAATTATATATGATACCTGCATCTCATTTGTTTGTGATCATTTTAAAGTTTGCCCCACTTGGATTTTTATTTTTCACTAGTATAAATAAATCGGTAAGATTTTTATTTTTTGTTAACAATGAGAGACAAAAGTTTACTCGATCTTGGTGACTTAACCTCCGTAATCTCGATACTTTGTTGCGATTCTCGCAAGTTTCCGTTAATTACATATGTATATTTTCTAGATTGCGTTTTAAAACATTCTTTTTGAGGAAATTTTACTCGAGACTCTATAGTTTAGTAACGTAAACTGTAGATATTGAGTAAAATTTTCCTCAAAAAGAAAGTTTTGGAATGCAACTCTAATGTTAATCAAAATAAAAATTACTCAAGTATTTGACTGCGTTCAGCAGAGAAAGCTGCTTTGCAACTGTGTAAAATTCGTGAATCTGACTGGTACATGCTCTTGGATTTAACCAAAATTAAGAGCATACTTCAATCAGATTCACGAATTTTACAACAGTTGCAAAGCAGCTTTCTCTGCTGAACGCAACTTTTATTCAACGCTTGCCGCGCGGCGGAAGTTGGTGTGACAGCCAATCAATAAGTCGCGTTTGGAAACCTCACTCGAGTACTCTCCCTTTTTTTTTATCGCACTCTTGTATTTCGCTCAAAACTGCAACGGCTATTGTCTAGTAGTGTGCACACAGTGTGTGTTTCCGAACGCAGCATTTATAATATTCCGTAATAACCTTCTAGGACTGCGGTCCGAAATATGCTCACGACGCTAATAGTGCTCACGAGATTTACGATCGGTCCGAAATGTGAGCGCGCTAACAATGATTTCATTTCGGACCGTTTGTGATTATTATAGGTGTAATTGTGCTCTGTGATATAGGCCGTCACCATATTTAATAATCACTTCCGATTTTCGTTTCTTTCGCCCCTGTGGCTTCACTTCCCGCGAAATACGCTCCGTCCAGATATTCCTACGTCCATGGCTCTTACGGAAAAACAGCACATTGATTGGCTACCGCGTTATTCCCTAGACAACTTCCGCCGCGTGGCAAGCGTAAGGTACTTTTACATGGGAGCATTGAGCGTCGAGCGTTAAAGCGGTAGCCAATTAGCGTGCCACTTTCCGCAAGAACTACAAGTATACTTCTAGAACCTGATACGTTGATTGGTTAACGCTTTAACCTCGACGCTGGAACGCTCTCATGTATTGGCACCTTTATGGCTCCTGCACATAGGACGCGGTAATGCTTGCCACGCGGCGGAAATCCGCGCGACAGCCAATCAATATGTTGTTTTTTCGTAGAAGCTAGAAGGTTATTACGAAAAGCAGCATATTGATTGGCTGTCGCGCAAACTTCCGCCGCGCGGCAAGTATTACCGCGTCCTGTGTGCAGGAGCCATTAGGTTTGTTCGAGTTGCTTGTACTATTCACACCTAATGCCCGTTGCACACTAGTGCACCTCATACAATACAAAACAAGTTCTGAAGACGCTTTTAGGACGAAGGAATGTCATCAGAATATTTTTAGGATGTCCATTGAAGATGTGAGCTGTCTGAAAATAGCTAATATCCAACAAGTTTATTCGCATTAATTGAACTTTTTACACTTTCACACTTAGTGCACATTAATTTTTTAAAGATTCTAAAAATGACGTCATGAGTTCTGTTCGTGTTACGAGTGTAATTGCAATTTTGATACACTTTTTACATTTGATCCCGAGCAAGAGTGAAAAATGTATCAAAATTGCATTTACACTCGTAACACGAACGGAAAACATGACACCATTTTTAGAACCTCTAAAGAATTAATGTGCACTAAGCGTGAAAGTGTAAAAAATTCAATTAATGTGAATAAACTTATTGGATATTAGCTATTTTCAGACAATTCACACTTTCAAAGGACGTCCTAAGAATATTCTGATGACGCCCATCCGTCCTGAAAACGTCTTCAGAATTTATTTTTGAAAATTTGTGTTGTTTGGAGTGCACTAGTGTGCAACGGTCATTAGGTGTAAAAGTGTGAAAAGTACAAGCAACTCGAACAAACCTATTATTGCGTTCTGTGTGCAGGAGCCATAAAGGTGCATTCAGGACGCTCTCCATTAGGGAGCTCGCTATTAGTAGAGACACTATAAAAGAGACTGGACATGAGACCTGTCCACCATGTTTATGCTAAATCCTGCGAAGGAGAAAAACATATACACTATTTTACTCTAACTCATAGTTTGCTCTTTTCAGCTATACTACTGCACTACACTACTACACTACTTCATTGGTGTAGCTAAGTACAGATGATATGAGGTTAGGACTGGGTGCTTTCCAATTGCAATATCCCTAGACACTTTCATGCACACGGCGACACAAGTTGCATTCCAATTGTCGTAATCGTCGACACAACACTACACATCCGTACTCAGCTCGAGGGCTACTAGTCGGCTGTGTAAACTAGTGTTTTCTAGTGACAATTAAAGTTAATAAGCGTAGCGGCTTGAAAAAAGACTGGCATTTGCGACGTGAAATGGATAATATCTTTTTTAATATTTGGATTTTATTATTTATTATTAAAAAATACCAAAATATAAGCACAGTTGAAAAATAATTCTAACCCTATCCGATATATATATACACTTTGTTCCAATTAAATCGTGCACAACGTTACACTTTGTACATTTCTGTGTACATATGTGTCAAGATGTGTTAAGCAATTGGAAAGCATTCACTGCTATGTGTACACTCATGGTCTAAAGGTTTGTGCACCGATTTTTTATAGATTTCGGAACGCGTTCCAATTTCAGGAGAGAAACAACCACTGCTTGACACGCCAGCGCCGCCACTTATTACGAGAGCAGAAGAATGGCATATACCGTATATGCCATCTTTTGCTTTCGTAATAAGTGGTGGCGCTGGCGTATCAAGCAGTGGTTGTCTCTCTCCTGAAGTTGGGACGTGTTCCGAAATCTACAAAAAATCAGTGCACAAACTTTTCAGACCACGAGTATACGTATGTCGGGTAAGGTTAGGATTATTTTTCTACTGTGCTTATATTTTGGTATTTTTTAATAATAAATACTAAAATCTAAATAATAAAAAAGATATTATTCACGTTGCAAATGCCAGTCTCTTTTCAAGCCGCTACGCTTATTAACTTTAATTGTCACTACAAAACACTAGTTTACACAGCCGACTAGTAGCCCTCGAGCTGAGTACGAATGTATAGTGTTGTGTCGACGATTACAACATTTGGAATGCAACTTGTGTCGCCGTGTGCATGAAAGTGTCTAGGGATATTGCAATTAGAAAGCACTTCTTGTTGTTTATCTAATGTAGGATTCACACCGCGTCCGATGTTCGACGTACGACGTCCGATATCCAATAAAAGAATAGCTTTCCAATGGAGAATTGAATTCTATATTAGAAAGCTGTTCTCCTATTGGATATCGGACGTCGTACATCTTACATCAGCCGCTTTGTGAATCCTGCATAAGGAGCGATGGTTACACGACATTTTTCTGAAAACTAGATGGGATAATGGTGGTACCAACAAAAACTCCTAGGCAACAATTTTAATTTCTGCGGATTAATGATACTGTAGAAGTAGCAAGTCCATGAATTTTGCGGAGTCGTTTTGACATATGCGTATGTATGTGTCAGATAACAAACTGTCACTAATCCGTAGAAATTAAAATTGTGTTACTTAGAAGTTTTTGTTGGTACCAACATTTTTCCATCTAGTTTTCGGGAAAATGGCTGCGTTTAGCAGAGAAAGCTGCTTTGCAACTGTTGTAAAGCAGCTTTCTCTGCTAAACGCAGCCATTTTCCCGAAAACTAGATGGAAAAATGTTGGTACCAACATTTTTCCATCTAGTTTTCGGGAAAATGGCTGCGTTTAGCAGAGAAAGCTGCTTTACAACAGTTGCAAAGCAGCTTTCTCTGCTGAACGCAACCAATGTCGTGTAACCGGAGCGATAAAGATAGAAGAACACGGTAGCGTTGGTAGCGTGTTCCCAGAATGCGCTCTAAAGCCCGTATCAGAATACCGACTGCACAGGCCGACCCGATTGCCGACTACTGGCTCTCGCAGACCAGTGCGATGCGCGACGCGACACACGATATGCGACGAGCGATATCCAATGAGCGTATTGGTATTCCGGAAAAGCTGTACGTTCATTGGATATCGCGCATCGCATATCGCGTGTCGCGTCATAAATCGCGCTGGCTGCGAGAGTCATACGACTGTCGACTGTCAATAGACCAATCACAGTGAGGCGCCGACTCGACTCGGTACGACGTCCGAGAGTCGGCAGTCGGGTCGGCCTGTGCAGTCGGTAGTCTGATATGGGCTCAAAGGTACAGTCCAGTAAGCGCTACAAATGCATTGTAACGTTTTTATTTCTTTCTCTTTTTTCATTCTAACCCGAAAAATAGAATAAGAAAGAGTAAGGGCTATCGCACACAAATTGACATAACTGCATATGCATAGCATAAGACCGTATGTACTAATGAGCATCGAGTATTAAGTCGCCATATTGGTGTTCGATGCTTAATATTCGATGCTCATTGGTCCATACGATCTTATGCTATGCATATGCAGTTATGTCAATTTGTGTGCGATAGCCCTAACGCTGCGCAGCATTTGTAGCAGTTACTGGACCGCGCCCTAAATGATCCGTTTACGTTGATAAGTTCTGAAAATTCCACTACGAGCCGCCACTATCTTTAGATCAGCTGTATACTGTTGCGTATGTATTGAGGAACTGAGCAAGTATTGGAAAAAATATCCTTCCATTCGTTATCATCGTAACGAAAGAAGAACGACGACGATATCGTGGTGCGCGTTCTTCGGATAGGTAAATGCGAGAATGTCGGACTGCGATACGCCGAGACATACCGCGACGATTGCCGGCTACGATTTCGTCGACTACGAGGACGCCGGTCATATCAGGTGAGTTCCCGGCAACGCGTGTAATTCGCAGCGAATCACCGCCGTTAATTCCGATAACAGAGAGCTGGCTCTCATTTCTCTCGTTAGCGGTGATCGATCGCGTTTTGTTTACATATATGCCAACAATAACCGGCGAATCGATCGACGATTAAAGTACGGTACTTTATCGTAACACGTGTTTATCCGTCATACACGTTACAAGTATTTCGAATACATTCTACGATGTTCGTAATTGCTAATCATGCGAGTATAATCGGCGATTTGTTATTTTTCGCCAAAGTGACAAGTCAACAGTAAGGCGCAATTCGTACATCTGAATTAGATGGTTGATATCATAAACCGCTGCTTAATTTAATTGATTGATAATTAATTGATCTTTTGTGAAGTTGCAAATGTTCAAGTTGTGATAGCAATTTGTTCGAGAAACTGCATCCTTTCTCGAGGAAATTCCCCAACGATAATCAGTAAAAGAGCGATACATCATCCGGCGGAAACATGTATTCGATTAAAATATATCGCGTTGTCACAGTAAGGCGGGTTCATCCAGTCCGACGAACGAGTTCGAAGAGTCACTGCAGGCGATGTCCGATATTTACGGACAAACGCCACCCAGAACTCGTCACAGCCGCAAGAAAAAGCACACGAAGTATAAACTGACCGGCAGGTGCGTAGGACGGATCAAAATGGTTTAGACACTGAAGTTGGCTCATCAGACTGTCAGAATTGAGAATTATTACTGACAGACACTTATGTAATAATAATATAATTAAATAACGATAAATAATATGTACTGATAATATAATTAATAATATAATCGCAACTCTGTCAATGACTCTCAATTTTGACAGTTTGGTGAGCTCCCAACTTTGTTGTGTCTAAACCATTTTGCAATTCACTGTATAATTTGAATTTTTTTAGTTGTATGGTAAAAATATCAATACTTTGATATATGTCTATAATTCAATAATAATGTCTATAATCTAAATGTTTTTACTGTTGTGTAAAATTTTTTTTTCTATATGGATATTTAAACTTTTAATATAGAATATATACGCACATGCACGTACATGTATTGATCAAAAAATGAAAAAAATGAAAAAAAAAGTACATGTATTGAATATATATATTAATTTTAAGTTCAAATTTTAATTATTTGTATTTCAAGACCAAAATGATAAAAATGCTCAAAATTAGGTACATCTCCAGACATTGGTACTTTTATCTTATTAATGGCAGTATATCATTTGTGATATATCCAACAATTTTTTAATCTGGCTTCTGGATTAGTGTAACATCCATCGTGTATTTGTTTTCAATATTTTGTGAACATTTTAGTTCACTTCTTTGAGATATTTTTTCAGCAGAGAAGCAACTTCATTCCTCAACTGAAGAAGTCTCCTGAGGAGATGAATTGAAATGTTTAGAAAACGACAAAAATAAATTCATGAAGGACATAGCATTACTCCAGAACCAAATAAAGTATTTCACCATATCACACAGAAGTCTAAAATATCAGTGTCCAACACTTATGTTGTATATGAATAATTTTTGAAGTTTATAATATTACAAAAATTTTCATAAACGTTAAATAATTTACAAAAATTATTCAATTCAATATATTCCTAGCAGATAAGAACAGTTGCTAGTTATACACTACCTAAATAGGCTGTTGCTAATGTAGTTTTCAATGATCACTAAATGTCTGGGTTATATTTAACTTGTATCGTTTCTAGTGATATTAAGTCGGTAGAAAAAGAAACCCGACCAAGGGCAGCAATTCGTAGGCGTAATACCTTGGACACTATCATTTTTAATGAGATGTGCGACAAAGCCGATAAAGATCGTGAGAATGAAGCAAAGGATGATGCGAAGGAGGGTAGCAGAAAGTGTAAGAGAAATTTGAAGCTATTACGCGGCAATGAAAGAGACTTAAAACTCGATGTGGAGGCTGCTTACAATTATGCCGAGAAGCACGAGCATATGACAGTATCGACCCCGAATCAAATAAAGGTTCGAAAAAATCAAAATATTTTGAGTGTTCCTTCGTTTTTTAGCGCTTCACTGCACACGTTTGGCTTACGATCAAACAATACGTGCTTGTTCACAGATTGAGACTAGAAATAGATTTCGTTGCTTGAGATCCAAGCCTGTAGACGTGGAAGAAAAGAAAGTGGAAATCTGTATTCAAAGTGGGGTAATAAATGAAGAGAATCTAAATGTGCACTCACCAAGGGCACAGAGTCTCAATGAAAGACAGATATTTCACGACACGTTTTCCTTTTTAATTAAATTGGTAATTCTTATTTATTATCTTAATTGTTATTTATTTATTATCTTAATTGTTATTCTTAGTTATTTCTTAAATAATTATACATAGAAACTCTTTCTCTCTGTCTCTTTTTCCCCCCCCCCCCCTCTCTCTCCCCCCCAAATACATTTTGTTTATAATGTTTAGATTGTAATTTTGTTTTTGCGTGTATGGGATTTTATACATTTTTTTATAGTTTTGTACAAATTATTTACTCGTATTTTTTTGATACTCTGTACAATTGATATTTTTCAATATTACATATAAATGTTTGCTTTTTTACAGGGAAGCACAGAGCGGAATTGTCGTCGTCAGATGAGTCATGAGGAAACTAGATGGCAAAATGAATTAAAGGATCTTATATGGTTAGAGCTGCAGGCACATCATGCCGATCGCAGTCCGATGGCACAGGACGAACATCTGTGTCGTCAACGCGAAGCAGTAGAAGGTCTGCTTACAGAAATAATGGAGTATAGGTGAGTAAATATATATTGCAAGTTTGTAAGTATCTCAGACATTGACAAATAAGCTTGTTTCAATTCTCCGATCGCTGAATTAGATACGACCCCATCGCGGGAATGTACGAGGTAGGCTCGAGTTGCATCAGCCCTGGTGACGTTACCAATGAACGACTCGCGAATCTCGGTTCGAGTCCAAATATCGAGTTGGGCGTGTGCCCAGGTTGTCTCTCCATGTTCTGCCGTGCGTGCGCGCGTGCACAGGGGGAAGCATTGCAGCAGGTGGAAAGTTTATTGGGCCGCTTGGAAGCTGCCGAGGCCTTGTATCCATCGTCCCAGGCATTTGCCGCTAATTATCCGTTGTATAAGAGCGCCGAGTTCACCGACAGAGTGAAAGCTATGTGTCTTTGGTATAACATGACGAAACATCATCGGCTTAAATTACAAATACTGGGCAGACTGCTCATGATGTTACACAGCAAAAAGAAACAAGAAGAAGTTACCGATTCTGGTATCAGGTGTGTTGTTTAATTTACAGACACACATTTTTCTCGAATTTGATCATCTAGATTGATCCAGCGAGATAATGAATCATTTTTATCTGTAGTTCGCGCTCTTCAGATACCGTCGATTCTACTGAGCAGCGACAATCCACGGTTCGATTTGAAATACCTCAGCAGGACGAAACTTCTAGTCCCTCCGACAGCAATAATAGTAATAATTCCTCAATTGGGTGTTTATCGTTTGGACAATCATTGCCTCCTACACCTGAGATCTCGTGCTCCTACATCGAGGATGAAAGAATCGAGCGGCTTGATTTTTACTTAGTCGAATTCGATCGATACGCTTACAGGTACGGATTCTATGCGTCTTAACGTGGTTTGCATTTATTATCGCGACATATTTTCAGTTTTAACTTTATAAAATTATGATTTCAAAATTTGTTCATAATTAATATAATTTATATTTGTTTACATGTTCAGGTTGTATATTGAGGATGTGCTGAAAACTAGAGGTCTCAGGAAAAGTCTAAACTTCCTGGAACGATTGCATACATCTGTCTTGCGAAAGGCAAGATTAACTTTAGAGAAAAATGACTGTGAGGGATGTGATAACAGCTCGAATGAAGAGTACGAAGGTGACAAAGAGTTACGACGCTACGGCGTTTGGAGTTCCGAGGCGAAGGAATTGAACTTACCGTCGTACAGGTGTTTGAAGAATTTCCTATTAGATAAAGAAATTTGCTGATCTTTAACACTTTCAGTCCTGGCTCCGACATTAATTTATTCGATACTTTATCTCAGAAAATTCTGGCATATTCACATGTTTGGATTTTAATTCCACCTGAAATTAAATGCTCTCTATATTTTGCAAAAAAGCATCATATACTCGACAAAAGAGAAAAGAGAGCACAAAAGACTTTGATAACTCAATTTTAACGCACTTTTTCTTGTAGGAATCTTTAAACACTGCCCGAGCCAGACTTGAGTGCTGTCAATGTGAACAATTATTGCTTTCTGAGTCTGATTCGGGGACAGGATGGAGAGTGTTAAGTTGTACGTTTTATCATTTGTGAAATAATCGATTTGCTCGATGACAATAGTTCTTTCTTTAGGGCAGCTTTCGTATTTCTGTCGCGTGTACCGTTAGACGTGGTGCATGAATTTCTGAGAATGAGATTGGAGCAGAAGCCAGTGCAACCGAGTCCGTTATCGGTTCGGCAACTCATGCGGGAGCTCCGCGAGGGTCTGAGGATTGCTTGCATCCATCGAGACAGGTTTGCTGCGCACTCTCGCGCTGCCATTGCTAGCGGCGAGACCAGTTGTGAGAGTCTGTTCGAGCAAGATGTCAAGTACTTTGACGAGAGTTTGAGAGCTGTGTTCGAGGTATATCTGGACTACTTGCGGCAGTGGGTAGACATGGTGCAGCACGACAGCTTTCATAAGAACTTGATTATGGACGAGTGGTTATTTGTAAAGTCTATCGCTGCTAACATAAACGATGGATTCAAGATCGCCGGTGTAAAATTCTGGTGAGCGTTGCGTCAGAATTAATTACGTTGAACGAAAAAGATGAATATGTTATTAAGTAATTAAGCGATCAGTGTTGTTATATTTTTTATAGTGAGATCGCTCGGATGATGATCAAGCAAGTCAATGAATTTCTCGTGGAACGACCTCGTGAGATTCGAGAAAACGCGGAAGAGAAGGATGACGAATTGTCATGCAAGTAAGAGAGGATTCTAATTTGTTTGTCTGAACAATATTTTGTAGCTGTTTGTTCCGCAGTGAGACGTGGTTCAGATTTCATCTGATGTTTGTGGGCCGTGAGTGGCAGGGAATGTTCGTCGAGGCTCGGGAAAAAGTTGTGAAGAGTATCAATCTAGCCAAGTGTGTGAAGCGCGATATTGAGAAATGGCCGGCTCTCGATCAAGAATTGCAGGAATCGTTGACGTTATTGAAGGTAACGAAGACCGCGAACGAATGTGTGTTCTCATTATGAATGGAGAAAATTTAATTTTACTTTTCCGTGTTTATATTTAGAATACAGCTTTGGGTCTGAGGGACCGTATAATAGTGGTGATCGAGGATTTCCAGCAGGAGGCCGACGAGGTAGAGCAGTCGTACACCGAGACCGATCAATCGGCGGCCATACGATCGAGGATTCGCGAGAATCTCCATCAGGCTTATAGAATGGGTTTCGATTATCATAAAGAAATGTGCATGCTATTCGCGCGGGAAGAGAAAACTCTTTTAGCGCGGGATTTAGTATGGTTTGCGCGTTTGTGGATGGAGTTTGTGAGAACGCGATGCGAGCGTGGCCGCGGCTTGAGACCTAGATGGGCGAATCAGGGTCTAGAGTTTCTAATAACAGTGTGCGAACCCCACTATACGAAACATATCACCGATCAGGAATTTGAGGAGCTGAAAACTTGCATGGATCGTTGTATATCTCATGTGGTGGGGACTGTGTCGGCATCATATGCATCCACAGAGACAGAAGGTAAAATTTCTACTTTCTTTTCTTGCTCGCTTAGAAGGTTGTCCGTACGTAATTAAGGCTCTTATTTTAAATTTTATTGATAAAAATGCTTCTAAAAGTTCGAGTAGTGCTTAGTGATTTGCCTAGTTTACACCAAACGTTTGATACTAACTATTAAATAATTTTAATATTGACAATGCATATCAACGACGATATAATTCAATTGATATAATATGTTCTCTTGATGAATATTATACTGTAATATACACTTGTATAACACATGCATCGTCGATATTAAGATTATTTAATAGAAAGTAATTATACAGTTTACGCTCCTCACCTCCGATTTTGACGAAAAAAATACTCAATCGACGCGCTTTTTAAAGGCAAAAAACTTTTTTATGTGGAAAAATCGTCACTCTCTATTGCGAAGCGAGAAATTAATCGACAAAATTGATTAGTATAAAGATTACAAAAAATTCATATCGACGATATACAGCGACAGGGCGCGTTCCGTTATACGTTCGTAACGCTTACGAGTGTCATTCTATCTTTGTTGCTTATGGATGTTAAACAAAGATAGAATGACGCTCGCGAGCGTGTAACGGAACGCGCCCATAGACGTGCCCCGTGAACGAATTGGGACGCTGTATATCGTCGTATGACAGTTTTCCTAACCTTAGAGATATATTTTATAACTTTTAACGACATCGTTATGTATCATTGCGCAGATTTTTTGTATTATGAAAAAACTGCGCAGCGATACATAACGACATCATTAGACGTTATAGAATAGGCCCCTAGTACTGATCAACTTTGTCAATTAATAGGTCTGTTTTCTATTGTTGAACTGGCTGCATTATTTCTCTTTCGTCTTTCTTCCACCAAGTTTCATCTGTATATTTATCTCTTTTTAAGTATCGAAACTGTACACTAGTTCAGCAATAGAAAACAGACCCAATTTCTCATTTCGGGGGCCAGAGCGACGTTTATTTCTGCCAGATTATTTTACATGCACAAACGCGTCAATTGGGTATATTTTCATCGATATCGGAGATGATGTAAGTAAACTGAATAATTACTCCTAATAGTGATCGACTTTGTCAATTAATATTTCATTTCGCAGTAGAGAGCAACGTTTTTTCCAAATAGAAACATTTTTTGCCTTTAAAAAACGCGTCGATTGAATATTTTTTCATCAAAATCGGAGGTGCGGAATGTAAACTGTATAATTACCATAGAAAGTTACTATTTAGTATCAAATGTTCAGTAAACTAAAATATTATCACTCTTGATTGGTACATACTTTTACAATAATCACTAAGTGCTCACTGTGTTGCTTTTTCAATTAAACCGGCACTGAATGGCCAATTGCTGCATTCAGTGGAAAAGGCAGCTCAGTGAACACTTAGTGATTATTGTTCGTGATTGGAGCATTCTTTTAGATTTTTTATAGACCCAGGAGTATTTATCAATTAGGAGTGATAATTATTAAGCGCTCCCTGAGCTACTCTTCCCGCTGAATATAGCCAATGGATGCGTTCCGATATTCATTAGTATTGAAAATTTATAATATACGTGACATAAACTATAGATTTTTAGTGTTAGCAATGAATATCGGAACGTAGCCTATAATTGGTTTATATGCGCTTCGCTATTTTGAGCATCAGTAGATCGCAGGAGGCGGTAGCCAATAAAGTTGCTCTCATGGCAAAATGACACATTGATTGGTCGCTTTTTATTGCGCGGCAATTGCGCGGCGCGGTTTGTCTTCAGGAGTTATTTCAAAAAAGCTACCCCGATCGAGAGCCTCGTCGCCGTCTCACTGTCGCAGTAGAACCGCGAGTTTCAGTCTCTCTCAAAAACCGCGGGATGCTCTGAGATCGCCCGAGATATTCATTAATGCAAGGAAAAGTGGTTCGCCGAATGTGGATGGAAATCTCGCAGTGATAATAAATGCATCTGAGCGAGGTACGCTAAGGCACGAAAGAGTCGTCCGTGCTATCAGGAAGGTGGAGAACGAGCTCGATGAAAGGTTACGGAATCGAGAACTCATCGGACAAATCATCGACAGAAAGTCAGTGGACAGAGTACGCGTTAAGGCGAGAAGAGTAACCTTTACGTGGCAACGGGGTATCAAAATAGGTGCGTTTTGATAGCTTATATGTAAAATGCTTGATTTCTACATTATATAGAGTCCTACATTATGTAGGATGATATCGATGCATTAATTTAGACGTCATGTGTTATTCAACTCTTCGGAATAATTCCGTTTTCCTTGGAAAAGAATTCTCGGGAGTAACAAAATAATTCTAATCGGAATTCATTTCTCGAAGAGTTCCACAAAGATTCTGTTACAATGCCGATAACAGCATGGCTGCAAGTCCATAGGACCCTGTAAACGAAATTAATTATTTTCATATTCTTGTGTCTTTGCATCAACCAATATAAGCGATGTATAAGATTGCGCAAAATAAACTTCTCAGTCTGATCGCTCTAAGTTAAGTTTTACAGTGAATCATTGTAGACCACGTTTTTAGAATATTGTACGACCATCAGTTTAATACTACAGACCTGCAGTTATACTGTTAGGTATTAAAATAAATTGCAAAACTGATCAGTTATGATCAGATGAATCGAGTGACTTTTTTTTAAAAACTAAGCATATTCTTTGTTATAACGTTTATGCAGGTCAAGGGAGATTCGGTAAAGTATACACTGTGGTCAACAATCAAACTGGTGAATTGTTGGCCATGAAGGAAGTACAGCTGCAACCTGGTGACCACAGGGCGATTAGACGTGTTGCCGAGGAATTACAAATATTCGAGGGAATTCAGCATCAACATTTAGTGCAATATTATGGACTAGAAATTCACCGTGTACGATAAACATAACATAATTGTCATCGCATATATCGACACGCATTAAACATGAATTATCATTAATGAATTCTATTGCCAGGAAGAGATGTTGATTTTTATGGAATTTTGCGCGGAGGGTACACTGGAGAGCTTGGTGGCGGGTAGTGGCAATGGATTGCCGGAACCTTCGGTGAGAAAGTATACTCGTCAGCTTCTTACGGCCGTGGCGTCACTGCACTTTCACGGAATAGTTCATCGAGATATCAAAAGTAATTATTCGGATAAAGTGATATTTGATTCTGATTTTTTATATCATTTTCAACCCGATCTTCCTTTTCTTTTTATCTTAGCTGCAAATATTTTTCTAACGGATGAAGGCAATTGTCTGAAGCTCGGTGATTTTGGCAGCTCGGTGCAAATCAAAGCGCATACAACGATGCCTGGGGAGCTTCAGGGTTTCGTTGGTACCCAAGGTCAGTAGCTTGATCATTAAATGGAAAAAAAATGTCTCAGTTTGCGCAACTGAATAAGAGCCAGATATAAAATTCGCTGATGTGAAGTAATATTTCGGTTATTGTGACTGAAAACATTCATTTGGACATTGTGCCGTACATTAAAACTCAGTTGAGATAACTGAGAGCAATTAGCTGCATAGAAACCTCCTATAGACATTTTTCTGTTCCTACAACTAATTCTTTCATCTGGCTCCCAGATAACAGATAAATTCAGTAACCATTTTTTTGTGTACGTAGTAATATATTTCGTTCATCTTGTGACACAATTTTGATTAGAAATTTATTGAATTAAACGTATTGAAATGGTATTCATCGTATTAATATTACATTATTTTTGTTTCATTACAGCATATATGGCGCCTGAAGTATTCATGAAGTCTGAAGGTAGTGGACACGGTAGAGCTGCCGATATCTGGTCGGTGGGTTGCTGTATCGTCGAAATGGCGAGCGGTCGACGACCCTGGTCGGATTTCGATTCGAATTATCAAATCATGTTTAAAGTACGTAGACCTAAGTATAAACAATTGCAATTCAACGCGTTATTATAAAGTTATACGTCCAACTAACTCGAAATTATTAATTTTTCGTACAAGGTCGGGATGGGAGAGACGCCGACAATTCCGACGAAACTTTCCATGGAAGGTGTAGATCTCGTAATAAAATGCCTCCAGCATGATCCGAAGAAAAGAGCGACCGCGAATACTCTTCTCGCGCATTCTTTCGCACAAACGTACGAGGACGTCAATGCTGATTTAGCGATGCCGCGTTATTGAGAGTCGTTCGGGAGAATGTGTGAGTACCATCCACAAAATTTTATTTCTCAAAATTTTTTCTTCTCTAACGTACCGGTTTTCTTTATTTATCTTTCTTACGGAGAGGAGGATTTTGCCTTTGTTATGGAGGATTTTGTCTTTGAAATGCAGAGCTGCATTTCGTTGTACTTTAGGAATTGTCTTAGAATTGTGTTCCACACAAAATGTATCGTAGTGTATTACATTGAGACATCAGTTGCCCCTTTGCTCTTTTAAGTGATTCGATTGTTAGTATATATTTTCTTCTATTTCGACAACAATTGGTGTTCACAGAAAACTGCGCGGGGAAACGAGAAATGTCTAAAAATATTTTAGATACCGACGAAGTTAGTGTAATGTGTAATTATATTGTGATCATATTATTTACGGTGTAATTATAGATACAGGTCGTCCCAGAAAACATGTCCTCGTAATCGCAATTACTGAATGCCAACAAAATCACGGAGGTCTTTAGCATTCTTTGATAAAGAGGAAATGCGAGTCTGGGATATTTTATGCCTATTGTATGTGATTTAAGGTAGCCATGTTATAACAAGCGAGCCTGGATATGCTAAAGGTTCTGATGACGTTTTAGTGAAATATCGTTAGTTTATCATAGATAATCGCACGTACAGTCGAGTACGTTGGTCGAATTTGGTCGAGTTTGGTCGTATGATATAGATATTTATAAGGAATATATAATCTTCGAGCACACAAGAATATAACACTCTGAGAAATAGAATAGAGAACGTTTACCTTTTCTCCCGTATGTACAATTTGCCAATGTGCGTGCATTTTATTTAAGTAAATCTATGTATATAATATATATACATGTATCTTTGTATATAAAATTTACATATAAAAATGTTATCCTTCGAAACAATGGCTTACGTGTAGAAAGTGTGTGTTGCTGTACTATTCAAAACGATGAATATGCTAGTTCTATCTGAAGAAATTTGCGAGTCACCGTATGTATTGTATATTCCTTATAAATGTATGGCTGATATACAAAGAGTACAAAGGCTAGAAGTAAGATTCTCTCCACATTCCGAGAATTGTATTCGCACTTCACACTTAGTATTGAACGTGGCTGTTCAGTGCTCGTGTATTACATATCGGAGATGTATCTCAGATTGAATAAGATTCTGATTTAGGTCGTGTTTAGTGCGATTCTCAAATGGAGAAGGTGGTTGAAGGTACTTTGGCAGCTTTGAGCGTGCGTGTGTTGTCTGTATAATATAATTGCTTCGTAGACGAAGCGAACAACTTGTTATTGTGGAATAGATATTCTATTTTAAATAAAATGATTGAAAATAAGCAACGGACAACACGACTACTGGTACCGATGGAATTTATTTTTGCACGAAGAAACGTACACATTTTATACAACATACTTTCGACGTGAGTCATTTACTTAGCAGAGGTATGCTGTGTATGTCTTCCGCGCGAGCGGAAAGCTGGATGTATTTACTTGTTTATCTATCGAATGCTTCACGCACGAGAGTGATTAATTTGCGCCACGATTCTTCAAATTTTTTATCGTATACAATCTTTCCTTTTTCCATCAAAAGAATGAATTTTTGATCCAACATATATATTAATTCAGAACTTCTCGTAATCGGCAATTAGAAATGCAAATTAACTAACCAAGGAATATTTTAGTGAATTTGCTCGAAAGGATGTAACAACTTAATTTGCCGAGAAACGAAAAGGACGAAATTCAAATTATAGATTGTCTATGGGTATTATTTTTTACATATAGCTCTTTCATAAATTCAAAGTTTGTCTTGACTTTCCAGTTTACAGCTGGATATACTCACTTTTATTTCTCGTCTATATTATTATTAATCTGTGACCAGTCAAACGACATATTTCTCTTTTCCTCTATATTGAATGAAGAATCGAAAGCAAAAAGAAATGCAATATTTTATAAAGAACAATAGCGAAAGTTTCCAATAGCGTTATAATACATTAGAAAAAATTGAAAGTAAAAAATATTAAATTTATTGAACGAGTCGAAATAAGGAAATATAATTTCAAATACGAAGAATAGTAGGTAAGATTGTAATATATTTATGTATATCGCGAGATCATCAAAAGCTGGCTTCAAGTGATATCATTAAATATAGTCAGGCGCTAATATACGACATAATTATTCTCGTGTGTTCGTAATTTTCGTTTCGAGAATCATCTACTTGATAGTCTCAAGTTTCCCAAATTTTTTCAAACTGATCGACCGCGAGCGAGAGCCGCGAGGTTGATAATATATGTATAATATATATATTTACGAATTTTTTTTCAATAAACATTTTAACAACGACGAAAGCGACCCTCGCACATAACGGTTACGAGTCGTATGCGTGAACCACGACGATTTTAAAAATTAATTCTGTAACAAACGTAATATATATATATATATATATATATATATTTTAGCGTGTTTAGTATGTTGTGACATTTGGATGAGAAATATGAGTTTATTTGTTCAATCCTCATAGTTCGAAGTGCGAAGTTCGACGCGCGCGAATCCTATGTTATTAACATTATTTTAATATTATATATATTCTATAAAGCTATACCTCTCTAGTTTCTTTCTTATCACGCTTTACCATTTGCTAACATTAACAGTCTTCAAACGCATAGTTTAAAATGTATATTCTAATAATCACATTGTGTACGCGAAAATAATATATTTTTCATAAATTGTAACTATATATAAGATACATAGACACCAATTGCTCATAAGCCTTCAGAGCTATGAGGATTAATTGTTAAACGTGATTATCATGGAACTTACAATTAGCACAATTTGATATGTAGTCCTCTGTTCAAATTTAAAAACCACGTGTAAAAACCATAGAATTTTGTTTCGTCGCGTTTCACGCAAAACAACCGACATCATCACGAAAACAATGAATAATTTAACGCACCAATATATTTCTATCTACTACTTAGAACTCGAGCTATAATTATATACATTCGTAAGCACACTCCAGCGATTTATACCGAGAATATACGTTATCTCGGAGTAAAATCGTCGCTATGTTGGCTTTCGCCTGATATGCATGTGAATTTCTTGGCCGCAAAAGTGCGATCACAATGGTTTCGCGATATGTATAAGTAAAGTATCTCTAACTGTATTTCGTGGCCTTAATTGTAATAGTAGATATTTTTTACTTTCTTATAGATCTAGTAGAGAACACTTGCACATGTTGTTACGTATGCGAGGCGCAACTAAAAGGTGCATTGCTTCGAATATGATTCGTTTCGACAGAGTATTTCTTTGGTGTATTGGATTTTTTCGTTATATACATATATATGTGTATATATTTTTTTTTTCTTTTTATTTATCTAGGCGAACGTTTCCAATGCTAATTCTTGCATCGTTTTCAGGCTATTTATAAACCTTTTTCAACATCAATTTGTCAACAATTTGCTTCGAAAATTCATGCAACAGAGGTGCACATTTTAGTTGTACACGGCATACGCGAGAATATCTATGTATTTGCGAATTCACACGCTATCATATACACACACATATATATTTTTTGTTTCGTTTTCTTTTTTTTTAACAATAACGAAGAGACCCATGCTCTCTCGTACTTTTCGCAAATGTACTCGACGGTAAATTGACTTTTTCGAACTTTCGTAAAATTTGAACGAATAACTTATGAATAACTTACTCAACAAACGAATTGGATAACGACAACATAGATTAAATTCTACTTACGGCGAAGCTTCGACGACGAATCTCAACAAAGAGCCAGAACAAACAAGTAAAAGTTTTCCGATTTAACTCTACGAATACTAAGATTGGACGAAATCGGACATCCTCGAGTACTTGATCAAAAGAGTGAGCGTAACGGTAGATCATAAAGAAAATAGATAAAGAATTTGAAAGTTAAAACATGAGTCTGATATGAATATGAGAAATAAAATATAAATAACATTAACGGATCTATATCATCTAATATCGACGACGTCTGGATAGGAAAATGCAGATGAGGAAGACTCAGTATATATCGTAGAAGAGTAGACTTAAGCAAATCTTGGACTATCTTGCTTTTTGCACGATAGATACGATAACAGATCGAAGAAATATTGTTTATCACACGAACTCAACAGATCCCCAAGTCTTCCACAGCGTCAATTTTCCCTCATCGTTCCTAGTAACCGACTAGAATTAGAAGGCCAAGCGGCGTTCCTAACAACTTTTTATCTCATCTCATATCTGTGAGATGACGAGACGATTTCCCTCGGTAATCGCCGTCAGTCGCCGTTATTCTAACTAGAATGCTAACAGTAAAAAGTCAGTACGAGAGGACAAGGCGAGCGCAACAAATCATCTAAATTTTCTAAATCGCGCAGCCGTGGAAACGTGGGGTTACCACCTCTAAAGGGTTAACGACTTAATATATTATCGTTTAGTGAAGTGGGATCATCATGAGAGAGTCAGTGCATAAAAATGACTTTATACACGTAAAACAGCCATTTGATATAAATGGATATGTAATTATGTGGATATGTATCATAATTTTTTTGCAAAAGCTGGTCATCATTTCTGAAAAGTTTGACATACAGCATATTCAAATTCTGTATAATTTTTAATGACACATTTCTTGCTTTTTAACGGCTAGCCCACAAAATTGATTCTTTTTTTTTTTAATGAAAAACAGTGATCACATTATTCCATTTTTGACATTACGAATCGATCAGCTAAAAAACACGATTTCATCTTTATTTATTTCTTCTTTTTTTTTTGCTTAGCAAGAGCTCTTTGCGTCCAACCGTTGATTATACGAGAACTTATAACGATAGCCAAATTGACTGACAAAAAAATGATTCCAATTGATTTCTGAAAAGGAAGAAACTCCGTTAAGAAAATTATGCGACGACAATTGGAACCCTTTCAATCCTCAAGATATCGAGTCACTACTTGTTGACTCCCTGCATCATGTTCCCGCTTGAACCTAATCACAGGAAGCGGAAAAATAGCGCGATAGTTAGAGCTATATTGTCGACGATCGATTGGCTTTTATCGAGCGATGCGATCCGTCGACCTATCTAAGAATTGGACAAGAGTTTACTGTGCGGGCGCCAACATACGTACGATTGGCCACATTTAGGGTGTTCCTGCGGCAGACGAGACCCGTGCGCTGGAAAGCACCCCTTTCTTCGGCAGCGCAATGAATATCTCTAAGAATATTTCTAAGAAACACGAGTGAGCGAGAAATTCAGTCGGTAACTACGAAGAACGAGCACGTCCAAAATATTTGTCATGAGAAATACGCGATAAAGACGAATAATTTTTACTCAATCTTTGCGCATGAAAGTCTGTACAGAAAGATTCACATTTTTCACATTTTTTGCTACAAAAGATCGTCCTTTCGGCGAGAGATTTTTCAAGATGCATCGCGAAACAGTACAATGCGCGCAACTTTGTCGTTTGTGGAAACGACATAATACACGATAGGATAGGATTTTTCCAGCGCTCGGGAGTAACGCGTCCCAAGAAACTTTACGAGTGGATCAGAGTTTTAAAACGACCGACCGATCGATCTCTAACATACTCGCTTACTATATGACGGCTACCGCAGTAGGATTTAATTCACTGTGCTCGTTAACGCGAGTCGACTAATACTGTATATGTGCGTGTGTGTTTGTTCGTTTGTGTGTGCGTATATACTTTTCTAGAAAACAGACAACGAGAGATTCACACACACTTCTAGTAGCCCATACAACAAAGAACATCTTAAATATTACAACAGCTTTCGATGAGTTTGCGCGCTTCGGCGACGCGCGCGCTTCTTTGCTCCAGTATTTTCACCTCTACTCTCCTCCTACTTGTTAGGGATTATATCAAACCAGCGACACATCTAACGAATTGTGCGAGAGCGAGTTCTTACGTCTAATTCCTCTGTGTCACGTCTACGCACGCGCACGTTACTTACACTCGTGTACGAATCTACGACAATTACTTTCTTTGATGCAAGGGTGCTTCGAAAGTCGCATTCTTCTCCACATTGCCACTCCCGTCGCCGTTAAAGTAGGAAATAAATTTAGAAAGTCAACTCTAATTCATACACGTCTCCTTCGCATCAAATAAATCAACTTTCGAGTTAGGCGACACAATTCTGCGAAGGTTATTTCCGCTAATATAGTACAATGAAAATGATAAACGATGGTATTTCTATGTACAGGATGTTCTTAGAGTGGAGTTTTCGGCAGCGTACGGTAAAAGGGATAAAAAAAGGATACAAGAGTGATGTCGTTATTACTCAACGTACGTCTGAGTACTTATATCGTTCGATAAGTCTGATGTGCGTTTCGAACCACCCTCGTGTGATTCGCGAAGCTTACGCTCTTTTCTATTTCTCTCTTTTCTTTAATCTCGGCGAGATTGATGGGAGAGGCGGAAGCTGTCAGTGTCAGTTTATCACTTTTTCGAATTTTTTATCATAGCTGCCATATCTCGTAGACTTTGTTCTAATGTTTGCGCAAATTGCATCGCGTTGGTTCTGCCGTCGCTATGAAAGGCAGAAACCGAAAATACGAAGCCGTTTGGCCGCATATTGTAGGCGCATCCGTAACCATCCGGCACTACCGGGCCATACCCGGCGATTGTCGTACTCTTCGTCGTCACCTGCAAGATGAATTTTTGAAATGTCTCGAAAGGTTCCTACAGACGTTTCCCAATTAATGCCGCGTAGTAAACGTGGCCATTGCGTCGCAATGGAGCAACATGTATCATTGGCATAATTCTGAAGATGTCGATTCAATCGGTATATTAATGAATATTCTCGCAAATGAAAGCGACTTGTATGAGACGCGAAAGATCGCGGCTTCTTAAGGCGCAATTAGTCTAATCGGTTGCACAACTTTTCTCGCACAAACCGATCGTATCGTGTCGACCTCGAGCTGTCAGAGTCATTAAATACTTGTAAAGATGTTCGCAATACATCCGGGATCTTGACTTACATTTTGTCGTGATAGAGAAATGCTTGGCGTGCATTGGCGTAGTAACGGTTAATTGAGAAGCAAACAACAGATTATTTATGTTGCATCTATTTCCGATCTATTTCTTGGATATTTTTAATCGATAATATGATATATTCAAACCTAAAGCAGATTTTGAACAGATTTTTCCAATTTAAAGGTAACGATGACGGGAATTTATTGAAATCGACACCAATGACGCGGATCGTTAAAAAATTGAAGGACGATATCGACCCTGTTGACTGACCTGTGACGTCGATAGGGCAAAGTGATTAACGATCGCGTAAGTTTCGTCCGTGAAGATGTCCGGGATCGGCTCGCCGGCCTTCATCGCTGCGTAACGCAACCCCATCAGATGGTTGTCGATGCCGTGTCCGTGTATGTTATCGTTCATTTCCTTGGTCTGTCTCTGTACCGCTAGATCAAACAGCTCCTTGATTCTTTCCGCCTGGAGAAGCGAACGGAAGAAGCAACACGTTCAATAGAGTCCAACGTATAAATACGCACATCAAAGATTTGGTGAAACGATTCGGAAGAATTTTGCGCATTCGATCGTGTGAAATTGTTTGCCTGCTATTACTTCGTGAGGCGAGCAATACATAAGCGTGACAAGCCTGACATTCCTCCCTTTTGAGATAAGATGAAAGATATTCGAAAGACATAAAGTTGATGAATGTTTCTTAAATTGGCTTTCTTATGTCTTTTTTGGAGAGAAAGCTAATTATATATAATAATAAATCCTGGCGCATTGAACACGAAAATTATGTTGTAAGCAATGTAGAAATCATGTAGAAAAAAGAAGCGACTGAGGCAATATGTCGCTAAAGGGAAAATGAGCACGGTAAATGAGAAACAACAGCTCGTTACCGCGATATTTTTCGAACGAGGGTGGACTGTGCAAAGGAAACAAACGGTATATCTCCACGGAACTTGCCCGAGGAGGACTAGAGGATCGCGCAAACACTCGATAGAGAAGGCAAAGAACCGGCGAACCCGGTTCTAATTGATTGCCTTTTCCTCTTTTTGGGGTTCCTGTTTTTCTTTCGTTCGTCGTATAGCTTTCACTCCGACTCCGATAACGGAGCGTCTTTTTCGCTTTTTTTCAAACGCATTTTCTCATCATTTCTACTTTCTCTGTGATATTTAATCGATAGTTGAATAGATTATCCGCGAGAGTGGGAAAACATAATTTGTATCGTTGAAGTGGATATTTATCACGGCGAGTAAAAATGTAAATCTTTAAAAAAAAAAGGAAAACTGGCGAAATGTAGAAGAAGAGAAGGAAGAAGATTGGCGCAATAGCGTGTTTACTATGTCTACATCTTTGTGCTCGTAGCGAAAAAATTAGCTAACATGTACAGCGTGTACATGCATGTAATAAATGACACGCATGACAGTACAAATTGTACGATTACTATTCAACACACACTAAAACGGAAGGATGAAAGTATATATTACGTAAAGATCGAACACGTAAAACACACGTAACTAGTAGTAACGTAAGGCAACATAAGACACAGGAGACAGTCGAAACAGAAAAGTAGGAGCGTAGATATTATATCGAAACCTTTTTATAGGTGGATGCATTTGGCATAAATGGGCAATGCGACCAACTGCTCAGAAACTTTTCGTAACACTGCAAAAAACGTGTATCGTGAGACAGTGATGAATGAAACAACTTCGAATGATCGAAGTTTTTTTTATTAACGATGAGTCAGTCATGACACGAGATCCCTGTAATTTAAGAGCGAGCAAACTCTAAGCAAAATCGGTAAAGCGCCAATTTGCAATCGTCTTGATATTTCCCATCAATGTCCTAATATGCAGCTTCTTCGGGATAAGGTATCGGGTCAAGGTTTCGTTATCTCGTGCAAACCAAAACAGCTCCTTCGTTAAAGGCCAAATTATCCAGGAATAATGACAAATTACTAGAGAAAAAAATGAGAGGAAAAAAAAGTTATAATTATTTGCAAATAAAATCGAGCGAGGCAAGTGTAACGGCAATTTGAAGAATAGTAAAGAATAGTAAAACTTGAAAGAGGAACAGAAGAGAGAAACATTCCATTCGACCCTGTTTCCCTGTCGAGTGTTATGGCACGGGAATCTTCGCATAGAAAAAATGGCAAGTTTCAGTTACACTGTAAATGGTGAACTGAACTCTTTTGGGGCTCCCATCCAAGGCGTTGTTTGACTGATTGGATCCGGTCTGACTGTGAGGATCGCCCTGACACATCGCCTTTGCCCATGCCAGCGCCTCTGGACTCGCGGCTCGGATGCAGTCTACACGGCCCAGCGCGAACCTCCGGATGCCGGCGCTCTCGTAAGTAGCCACCAATCTCCCGTGAAGTCTGCGAACATTGCGAGAACGTTCCGCGATGACGAAAATGCTTAACAGCAGCGCAGTAGGAGATCGTGCTTTATTGACGAATAATAGCAAAATAGACGGCTCATACCTTACCTGAAATACGTAAGCTGGAGCGCCAATTGTATATATACGTCGGGGCTAATTTTGCAGGATTTGATGAATTCCTTCGTATAATCCTCGAACGACATAATACAGAGGTCCAAATCTTCGACCAGCCTGAACGGAAATATATATCGTTTCTCATTTCGTCCGATTTTTACACAGGACGTACGAAAGTACGCATGGAAGTAGCCGACGAATGAAACTCGAAAATTATCACACATATTTCCTATTGCTTTCCTCCGGAAATTTACTCACGCGTCGATGCTCATCATCGCATCTCTGATGTCGTTCAAGCTTTGCTCACTGAGACACCAGTCCATTTTCTCTGGTGCCGGAAGATGCGAGGGCACTAGATTTTCATCCGGCGGCGTCATCGAGTCCACTTTCTCTGTGATATCCACGAAAGCATTAAATATAGCCGGTGCTTCACCGGCGGAATGCTCGTACGTAAATCCCCATAATCCATCCTACGTTATAAGGATTCGTATGAGGATATTGCGAGAAGAAGCGAGTGATCGATATGATAAATATATATTTCATTTCGTCGTGTTTATTTCGTCGTATTTATAGATTTCGACGCTATCGAAAGTTTACCTTGCCAAGGAAGAGTTGGAGAGTCTTGTCGTACCAACGATTCGCGGCCAAGTGTCTGGACCCTCCACCGTGAAGGGCGTGATGCAGCACGTTCGCGTAATCTCGATCACCGATCCACCGATCCTCCTTTCTTATTGGATTGTTGAACGTGGTTGGCAGCGCGTCATCGTCGATGCAGACGATGCACAGGCAACGCTCCAATAGTTCCAGATTGTGTCGATTGCATTCATCTACGAGTCGTTTCGTCTTGTTTCTTAATTACGATAATTTTCAGCTACTCGGCAATATTTGGGATATCTATTGAGTTTCCAAAATGTAATCGTACACAACGTGTAACTTTAATTAGCTGTGTCCCGTGCGATCGTTATGAGATCGTTGTCGAGACGGAATGTTTTCGCTCGGATGAGAGAGGCGCAATTCCCGTTGTCTCGTTACGATGTTTCTGCCGTTAATTAATCAGGGCGAACGCAGGTAGTCGTTAACTCGTTACCACGGCCGTTTATTCGATTTGCAGGCGTAGGTGGGTTGTCGCGTTGAGCAAGGTCGGGTTAGGGAGTTGATGGGAATATTGCGAATATTGGAGAAGCGGAGGATGCGGCCGGATAATTACGACGACGAGGGTCGTCGCAAAGACGTGCGCGCGCGGCACGCTGTTTTTCAGGTATAACCCGATAGACAACCTTCGCTTCTCGGGAAGCGAGTGATAGATCGATAAATTCAATCGAATGGAGTATCTTAAATTGGATGCTCCCTTTGGAAGATATCAGCTGCTTGTGACGGGACGTTTTTGAACAATGTACGTACTTTTGATCAGTTCCTCTCGCGCCTTCGCCCAGACTGGCCGCTTTGCAGTCGTGAGAATTCCAACCGGTGGGGTTCTAGGATCGGCTTTGGTTTCCATAATCATCAGTAACTGCTGTACCAGTTCGGCTTCCGTGATTCGGTCTCGGTCCGACGCTCTCACCGGTACGCTGTAAAACTAGGAGAAACACGATGAGATATCGCGATGATCAGAGGTTGGAATGCGCGGAATAACACAGAATGACACAGAACGTTGCATATTTTTCATCTCGTCACTTTTTTTTATATCACGCTTCAGAGATTTATTCGTGGAATTTTAATTTCAACTTAAGGATAAGGGATAATTTTATATCTTGGCCCTTACCCGATTATGGTGTGCGACGACGATGTGATCGCCGGAGGCCGCTCTATCGAGGAGAATTTGCTCGTCGCCGTTCACCCCGGGTCGCCGATAAATCCGCAACATTTGGTAATGTTGCGCCATGCAGAGCGGTTGTGTATTTTTACCATCCTTAGACTTGACCCGTTCGACTTCCAATTCGCACCTGATCGAAACATACGAGTTTTTGCCTCTGAATCGTTCTTCCCGTGGGGTATCTCGAACGGAAGCGATCGATCTCTCTTTCGCATCGCTCTCGCGTCCTGTCGTTTCATCGAATGTTTCGATGCAATCCGAGCCACGATTGCTATTAAGAAAACTGGCGGCGCAGCGGTATTCGCGAATCGTCGCTTTAGTTTTTGAATTGAAAGAAAGGAGCACTCGACGCAGCCGCCGGCATATTCCCGGCCGGATGCGGGATACCGAGGATCCTTTGAGTCTTTCTCCACGCGCGGGAGCGTCCGCTCGTTCTCTCCCTTTCCTCTTTATGTTCACTTTCTATGGATCTTACAGCCCGGATTTCCTCGCAGACGTACGCCCTTTCTAAATTGATTTCAGTGCGGCTTCTTTTTGTGCCTTACGACGACGACGACGACGACGACGACGACGACGATGAGTCGATTAGCACGTTTCGTTATCATCGAGCCGATTGGTTCATGAATTTACACACGCGCTCCTATCTCAATTGTATTATTCAAAACAAAGGACGCTTGCGACGAGTCAGGGCGACTCTCAGAATGATGCATTCCGGATTATCGTACGGGATAAATGAGAAAAATTTCGGGGCTTCGTCTTACCTGTCCAATTTTTCTTGATAGTTGAGGAGCTCGATGAGAAATCGCGCGAGAAATGCCGCAGATTCCCGCTGGTTTGCAAATCTCTTCGTTTTCATAATTAGACCGGGATTGCTGTTAATTGGCAAAGCCAGTGGGACGGACAGGTACATATCATTTAGCCACCATTCTGTCGCCTACAAGCAATATAATTCACATATTGTATTAAATGCATAAATTATTTGTGAAATACTTGTAACACTCTAGAAATGTGAGTACGTATATGCGCGTATATATGTGTGGTGATTGATTATGAATTATTCAATTAAAAACGTAGATATATTATTAGTTACCTCGTATATATAAAATGTTAATCTAATTAGGGATTAAAATAACAACGGTTATATACGCTCTATAATGTCCGATAAAGTTGTGCGCGCAGTATCCAAAAAAATGCAGCACAAGGGAAGATCGCGCAACCACTTATACTAATTACTCGAGATGACATTGCGTAACGTCGCGTGAAAGTATCCGGAAGTGGCTAATGCTCAAAATAAAAGTAATTAAAGAAAAAAATTAGTAAGAAAGTCGAGTTTGCCGGCAGTAGGTGTGAGCATGATCATTTCGGGATAATGATTCGTGTGACGCAAGGAAGAAGTAACACCAATATGCCAAGAGTGCCTAAAACTTCCTGGAAAATGATAAATTGCTCATTAGCACATCGTAAGCACGCGGTTTGTTCGAATCGATAAGAAGCCGGGCACAATATGTAGTACATTGGGACATGTGTCTAATTATGTAAATTATGTTGTCATGCGCGCAATTAAATTGCGCTGTCACTTTGACGTTGGTTTTTTTAATTATGCATAATCCGTTACGCACTTTAATACCGCTTTAACGTTACGACGTCGTTTTTCACACTCGACGGGGATTATCCTCGGCACGTCATTAAATACGGATTAAACAATGGACTTGGTTCGTTGCCGCCTCTATTGTCACACGTTGCGTGGTAAAATCATTAAAAGGGAGAAAGTGCGAAAGAGTCGCAAGATCTGTACAGCCAATATTTTTTTCGAGTTACTCTGGAAATTTTTCTAGACTTCTATTGTCTCACATACATACGATGAAGTCTCGAGAATTTGAGAATCGAGCTTAAGACGGAATCGAAAAGCTAAACCGTAAAATGCTCTTAATGAATTTAACGCGTTGAAAACGCACAGAGACTCGAGGTCGCGACTATAAAACTGCATTTTGCGATTTATCTATGTTTGGTGATGTCTGGCATACATCATCTACTTATTTTACGACACGCTCGCTGAAGACTGCCGACGTCGCGCGGACTTTCTCGCAGACAGTCCAGAAAATACATCCTTATCATTGAGTCAAGCAGAGCGTACTCTAACGCGTGAAATTCGTGATAAAATGTTTCCTACGTTCTATGACTCTCCGCCATAGAATCATATTTAATATTATCGTCAGCAACACTATATCGAAGCGTAGATTCGCAGGATGGCAGGATATATTGCGGACTTTAATTCGCGCTTGTACTGGCAACTACGAATTATCGCAAATTATAGTATTATCTCTCGAAGCATAGTTTTCTTCTTTCTCTTAAATGATTCTGGGTCAGTGTGTGACGAGCACCGTCCGAGCTCGCATGCATGTTTCACGAAGTCCGTCTTCACGTCGATACAATGGATCAGGTTTGCTTTCGAGAATCGTCTATAGATAGAACTTGCAAGCTCGACTTGCTGTTTATTCGCGGAACGGGCTATATTTGACCAGAGATGACACCGTTTTCACGCTCAGAGCTGTCTCAGAATGCACTGACTCGAGTCGCATCTTATTATCTGAAATTTTTTTCGTATAAGTGGGACGGAGCGATCGGGACTTGGATTTCTCACTTGAGGTGAGAATCGGTGAAAATTACACGACTAAGATTGCGGTAAGGTTGCGATCATGACTCGGATGATTGGAATGTATGAGTCCGAATGCACCTCGAATTACATCGTAGTCGAACGTATGTGCGTAGAATTATATTTGTACAAGAGGTTTCAAACTCCCATTTTCTGTTATTTTCTAGTGATTAGGAAATTGCGATTCGTGAAGGATTATGATTTGTAATTGTTATGACATTTAGGTATTCGACATCAGCATTGCGTGACTATCGATTACACGATGCAATGTGCACCGTAGGAAGACAAGATGGATAATGCCCGCTCGTCCACGTAATTCGAAACAACGGTATTTCTTGGGTAGTCTGCGCCATAGTGTCAGTGTTAGTCAGAGAAAAGAAAGAAAAGAAGAGTTATATACATGTTATATACATGTTATATGTGTGTATATACATTATTTTAATATAATACATTAAAGTTTTCCGCTTCTCTCTCTCTCTCTCTCTCTCTCTCTCTCTCTCTCTAAATTAGAGTAAAGTAAAAGATATCTCGTTAGGAGCGAAGCGAGCTAGGGCGATGTTTCTTTTTTTCCCAAATTGCGATATCGTTGAACGTTGTTCTTTGGCTCTGATAAATATCTCCGTTAGAACCCGAGTTACGCAAATGCCGTGTAAGATGCACGCTTAATAAATACAACGCAAATCGGTCGTGCGGGAGTTTGCGTTTAAACCGTGGACAAGACTTACGCGACCAGTGAGAACCGGTGGCTTTGATCGCCGATGGCGAAGCCGGTCGACCTGTTCGAGGGCGACCGAATATATTTCGACACATGGCGTCGCTGGCATGGCACGTTGCTTGCGCCATGAACGAGATGCGCACGTGCAGCGCTGCGCAACGCGTGCACGCGCGACGATGCGACGAGGATGCATCTAGCACTGTATTGTTTTTACAAATTAAATATTATAACTGGGATCTCTTCCTCTTTCTGTAATAACGTATATTTAGAGCTGTTCCTTGAAAATTAAGCTTCTGTCAACTTCTACTTACTCGCATGCTATTTGCGCTTTCTTAATTATACGTTTGCCTTTGAAATCGCGTCAACGAATATGTTTTGACTCGCGTGTAATAAACGCCGTTTAACTAATTACTCCAACAACTCCAATAACTGCGTGCTCGAAAAGACAGTTATTAATGTCTTGCGTCACGTAGACGCACACACGTAGACACACGTCGTTTTAGTGTACGCGTATATACGCGTATATACGCGTAATTAGCACTCTCGCGAGGTTAAAACTGTAATAGATATTCCATTGACACGATCGAGTCCGAGTTTGATTTGCTTGACGATAACGATCGTTCGCACGTCTCGAAGATGCGTGAAAGTAGAGTTGGCAGCGTCTACGGTCTCTCGCGCAATCACGCCAACAATTACCAGATGCTCAAGTAATTGTATTTGTGCTTTATGAACTTTCCAATGCTCGTTTTCTCATTCAAATTATCTCTTCTCATATACGTATCGGATCCAAACTTGAAAAATTAATGGTAAACACGAGAGCGATCTCAATGGTAGCAATTTTCAATCAGGAACTCTTGCGACTATTCGCCAGATTTATATTATAATTTCGTCACATTACTTTGCCTTAATCGCTCCGTGTGTATTATGATTCGTAGTATTATAAAAGAACTTTCAAGTCGAGTAAAACGATAGTTCATTTTAGACTCGCGCGACGTGAGGGATGGATGCTTGTGAAACCGGTGTTTGAAGTTTCGCGCACAGCGATGCACGCCGTTCTCCGTGGCTTAATGAGACACCGGCGCACGTGATCGGTACATTAGAGCATCCATGCGGAATATAGATTACCCGCCGCTAAGCGTCGAATACCGTGTGCCTGCACTCCGCAATGGCGATACGCGAAATCTTAACGAGCGCGAGCAGAATTGCGAGAGGAGACCCGTGTTGTCGTTCCCGATGAGGAAACAGCTGGCGCAATATCTCGATGTATTCGATGGATAATCGCGCTGTTTGCTCGCTCCATTCTTCACTGTGTTGTTCATCACATGTGTCTTCGGCTTGCCAAAAAATCTCCCTTCTCACGAGGAGAAATTTCTTTTCTTTTATCAGTTACGTTAGATCGTAACAAGTTGAAAACGAAGTAAGATGGATTTGTTAGACTTTGGAATTACGACGAATTGACCCTCGTGATTCACTTATCTTGTGTGTGTGTGTGTGTGTGTGTGTGTGTGTGTGTGTGTGTGTG